GCAACATCATTTTCCTGATATTTTTAGCATGCTTGCTACCAGAAACCTGGCATTTTCTCACAATAAATCCCAGGTTCTTAGTAAATACACATATCGATATTAGATTTTTTTTTCTTGTAAATGGAATAGCTGTGGGAAGTCAACAATGTGCTCATGGATCATCTTGTATCATTATACATGTTTGGTTGTCGTGCCCCAGCTCTCAATCTCAGTAAGAACAGTTGGACCTCCTCTGCTGATGAGCCTGGTGTAAAGGCTAAAGGAAAAGATTGAAATATTTTTATTTCATATGGAATCTGAATAATGTTTAGGAGAGAAAATGTCATTAAAACTGTGAAAACTTTGAAAATCTCCTTTTAATGTGTCTTGTGGGAGAAAAAGGCTTATGAAAACAATAGTAATAATACTGATGCAATACTTGAGGAAAGGCAAATAATATATCATCTTTTTTATAGCATTATGTTGCCTCATCTCACTTGATAGGCCTGCTAAGAGCATGCTTTGCATACAGCTCCATCATTCTTCCTCTCAAGCAAAAATCCCTTATGTATCCCAATGGCTGCATAAAAGACATTGAAAAATGAACCACACACATCACCATTTTTCTTTTATTCACATCCCTGATTGGAACTCCTGCTCATAACATCACTTTCTAGTAGACTTCACAAAATACCTGTGCTGTAGAGTTGTGTGCTCAGCTTCCTGGTTTCCCCGTAGAGGGGAGATGTCTGGTCAGTTCAGGAGGAATTTGTACAGGCCACCAGACATGGTATCAGTAGTATCTAACATGTGTCATGTGCCAGCATGGGTCACCAGCATGCTGCTGAGCTGGTACAACGTCAATGAACACGGCTGGAAGGCGGTTTAGTCTATCGATGCACTGTAATTACCATTGTAGGCAGTTTCCTCTAATTGAAGCTCAAAACATATTTTTCATGAAATGGTAGAAATGATGTCTGTAGATGCATAAAATTTTATTTTCATTTTCATCCGATATAAACTTTCCTCATTTTTCTTGGTTGTGTGTAGTATTCTCCATCCCTTGTACTGAACCGTTGTACTGGATCCAGTTCAGAGAAACAGTTAGACAAGCTACGCTTCGATGAGAAGTCCCTTAATTTTAGTTTGCTTCTGAAGAAGTGTGGAGGCCTTTGCAAAGAAAATATTTTAGATTTTGAACTTGCAGATGTGTTGCAGTGGAATGTTTCCTAGCTTGACCCTGCGCTTTGAAGCAGGATGCAGTCTATGCAGTCTCTTCTTTCAATTTTTCAGTAAGGGGGAGTTCAAAAGCATAGTTAACTTGGAGGTTTTTTTTTTTGTGGCTTTTCTATAATTTTCAGAGGTGGTGGTTTTTTTTTTTATTCTTGTCTTACTCTTAACGGATGGGGAAAAAAAAACAATTTGCCAATGTCTGTCTTTGGTGAAGTAATAAATTGGATAGTTAAGGAGACAGAAGTAAATGGATGAAAAGATTTTTTCCTCCAACTATACCAGTGTGGAGGAAAGACAGTAAAAAAGTGTGCTGTTCAGATTAAGCATTCCACTTCCAACATGCAGGGGTGGTAGGCGCAAAGAATGATGCAGATAGGGCATTTACCCTATTCCTTCCTCTGAGCTTCCCTGGCCTTGACAAGCTTGGCCTTGAGGGCGTCCCAGGTAAAATCTTGGTCTTTAATAGCCTTAATGGATATTTTGTCTTTTAATTTGTCTAGTTATTTGTATCTTGTGTATATTATTAGAAGTTGCAACATCCTCAAGTAGTGCATTTCACAGTTTAACAACATATTGCATGAAAAAGTCCCTATTTTGAGAACAGAGAAGAGAAGATACAGTGAAGCACAGGTCAAATGAAATTATAACAGTGTGGATTCTCAGCTAACTTGAAAAACTGCTCACAGAAGCACTTATCAACACTTAATGCCACTTGATATTTCTTCATATGAAGTTATGTGGCAGTTTGCACTGGAACAGTTAAACCTCAAAATATTCTTTAACTATATGGGTGAGGGAATTGCTTGTGTCATCCAAACTCACCAAAATGCAAAATTCAAAAGTTTTTGCAATAAATATGGAATGTTTTATCAAATAGGACGTCTGCTTTAAAATCAGTAAGATAAAGTTCAACACTGAATATTGCTAAGTACTGCACATTTGCAAGGAAAAAATCATATGCACAAATACAAAATGTCATGTGGACCTATGTCAAAAGGCTTACTGAAGTCAAAATCTATCATGTTTTTCATTTTCTTTCTATCCATTCAGTTTCCTCCCTGTCAGTGAAGCGAGTCGGAATGCTTTGACATGATCTGCCCTGAACAAATCTGTTTTGACTGTTTCTCATCACCTTATCATCTTTTAGTTGCTGTCAGACTATTTGATTTTTTTTTTAAGTAATTTGCCCTCATAGTTTGTGGGGAAAGATTAAAGTCCTACTGCATCTTCCTTCTCTCTGTGTAAAACATAGGTATTTGCCCAGATCCAGGACTATCAGAACTTGCAATTGCCTCAGAAGATTTCTGAGATTTTCATTAATGATGATTATCAAAGCATCTTTTCACCAGTAAATTATGAAGTGAAAAAATATTCTTTAATCAATGTGTTAACGCTCAAAGATACTTGGTATTCATTAATTTATTTAGCAAGTATCTGGAAAAAAAATCAGATTTAAAAAAATGTTTTCCCTCCATTCATATGGGGCACTGGAACCTGTTCATTTTATCCAAGAGCAATATTTATTCTATATTAGTCTATAATTTTAAGAAGCCATAAACAGTTGCCTTACATGAGCAAACAGTTGGCTTCCTAATTTGTTTTGCCTATATAAAATTTTAAAGGCATGAGTTTTCAGATGATTTACATACACTTTTCTTCATCCTAAGAAAGCACTGCTAAGTACATCTAATAAGTGAAAGCCAAAGAAATATTCAGTGATTCATTTAGAATATAAAATACTGAATTTGTTTGGATGCAGGGAGTCACTAATTAGTTTCTAATCACAAATTCCTCATTTCGCAACTGCAGATGTAAATTTGTGTTATTTTTATGGAGCAAATTTGTGGCTGGAAAAATACTCAGATTTATGTCTCTGTTGGAAGATACAAAGTCTGAAAGAATCGGCAAGAGAAAGCAGTATAAAACTGAGAGTCCAAGAATTACAACTTTACAAGCATAGTCTTGCTCCATTTCTGTGTTCTGTGATCCACAGGCCTTTCACATACTTTGCCTTTTCAATCAAGGTCAAAACTCAAAGCAAACAGCTGCATCATTAGCTCTGCAGAGAAGGACCTGGGTGTCATGGTGGACGACAAGTTGACCATGAGGCAGCAGTGTGCCCTCGAGGCCAAGAAGGCCAATGGGATCCTGGGATGCATTATGAAGAGCATCTCCAGCAGATCAAGAGAGGTGATCCTCCCCCTCTACTCAGCCCTAGCGAGGCCGCATCTGGAGTATTGTGTCCAGTTTTGGGCTCCACAGTACAAGAGGGAAGTGGATCTTCTGGAGAGAATCCAGCGCAGGGCTATGAGGATGATCAGGGGCCTGTACTATGAGGAAAAGCTGAGGGAACTGGGCCTGTTCAGCCTGAAGAAGAGAAGGCTGAGAGGAGACCTGATCAGTGTCTATAAGTACCTCAAGGGAGGCAGTGAGGAGGATGAGGCCAGCCTCTTTTCAGTGGAGGCCAGCAATAGGGGTAGAGGTAATGGCCACAAACTGAAGCACCAAAAGTTCCACAGGAACTTAAGGAAAACTTTCTCGACAGTGAGGGTGTCAGAGCACTGGAACAGGCTGCCCAGAGAGGTTGTGGAGTCTCCTTCTCTGGAGATCTTCAAAACCTGCCTGGTCACAGTCCTGTGCCAGGTGCTCTAGGTGACCCTGCGTGTGCAGGGGGGTTGGACTAGATGACCTCTAGAGGTCCCTTCCAGCCTTAGCGATTCTATGATCCTATGATCATGCCCCAAAATAGGTTAGATGCATAAATGTCCCCTACATCTCCTAGTTAGGGAGGTCTGGGCTCTAGAGAGGGAAATACGGATCTCTGTCCTGGGCAGTAACAGCCCCTGTGCATAGTGTGATACTGTCGGCTCCCAGCAGTAAGTATCAGACTGTGTCCTAAAATATGACTGTCTTGAGTTTCTTCTGAGCAAATGGCAGTGAGAGCAAATCACTCATTAGGGATTGCCCTCAGTAAGAGCAGTCTCTTGCAAACAGGAGATTTCACTGCCGCGTAAGGTTGTCTCAGGGTGCTTTGCTGCAAGATAGTTCAGAGTGAACCTAGAAATCGGTTCCACCAGCTGCTGGTAATAGTCTTTAGACTGCTAGCTATAGGTGATGTATGATGTCTAGTCCTGTCATGCCACTAGCAGAGACCCTTAGAGACTGATAAAGAGGAGGCTGGAAAGACACAGATTTATTTAAAGCTTGTGTATACGTGTCTCAACTGGTGTTGGGCTTCTAAATTCAAAATGACTTGCTTAAATATTTGTTTTGCAACTTTTTAACCTCAAAATTTGTAAATTTCTAACCCTCAGTCTTCTGTTACTCTCCTCTCCCTGGATGCAGTGCACACTGTGGCATGAATAAACATGAGAGCAGTATAAATGAATTTCAAACCTGAGATTTAAAATGGAAATAAGACAGAGCTGGCTTGTCACATTAAGTCTGGATCTAGATGTATGTTCCTACTCAGGTTCACATGCAAAATACATGAGAAAAAAGTTGGTATAACTACCCTTAGCGTTAAAGTACAGATAAGACTTCTCTGCAGAACTAAAGATATCAAGAAAATGGAATTGAGTTTTCTTGATATAATTTGGGGTCAGGAAATAAGTAAGAAAGAATATTCAGTGACCTTCACTTTGGGCTATAGGACATGCTTGTGGTTTCTTTTTTTTGCATGAGTGCATGTCTGGTCTCTTTTCAAGCCCTCTTTTGAGACTTTCATTATATCAGCTGCAGATACTGCAGCTGACTCATGAAGAGAGCTTTTTAACTTAATTCACAAGTGCTTTTTTATCTTTATTCACAAGTGTTTCCTGCCAGACAAAAGAAAGTTGTGTGATCTGTTGCACTTAGTTTGCATATCAGTTGCCTCATTACCAGCGAACATTTGTCTCTTTTCAAGCCCTCTTTTGAGACTTTCATTATATCAGCTGCAGATACTGCAGCTGACTCATGAAGAGAGCTTTTTAACTTAATTCACAAGTGCTTTTTTATCTTTATTCACAAGTGTTTCCTGCCAGACAAAAGAAAGTTGTGTGATCTGTTGCACTTAGTTTGCATATCAGTTGCCTCATTACCAGCGAACATTTGTGGTGAGGGAATATCGGTTGCAACTTTTTGCACATTTTCAGTAATTTCAGCTGTGTTCATTGCCATGACTCTGGATATAGGTTTCTGCGAATGCATATTTATGATCCCACATAAACAAGTATCAGCCTATGCAATTTGGCAATAATGTTCTATCTCAGAAAACAGTTTTAAGATTCTATTTCTCTTTATAGTTGAGTCTTGTTATTCTATTACTTTACCATATTTTTACTTGTTATGGGTCTTTAATAACCTTTACCGGTACACATGAGTGTATACAGAACTGAAATAATTAAAAATTGTTGAAACATTTTCCACTTTTTGTGAATCATAAACATCTTGAGTTTTGTAAAGGTGTTAACATGAAACCAGGTATGTTTTACCAGCTTAGAAGTGTCTATGGCTTTAAAATAGAAATAGAATGTTTTCTCCCCACAGCTCTGCAAGCAAATTGTGTCTAATTGAGCAGCCTTTTGAGTCAGCATTTCCTAGCTTCGTTTGTGTTGTCAGTGGTCTCTCTTTGATGTTGACTTTGGAAAATGATTAAATGATTCCTTGCAATCATAGAATCATAGAATCATAGAATGCTTAAGGTTGGAAGGGACCTCTAGAGATCATCTAGTCCAACCCCTCTGCACACGCAGGGTCACCTAGAGCACCTGGCACAGGGTGGCATCCAAGCGGGTTTTGAAGATCTCCAGAGAAGGAGACTCCACAACCTCTCTGGGCAGCCTGTTCCAGTGCTCTGTCATTCTCACTGTTAAAATTTTTTTCCTTAAGTTCCTGTGGAACTTTTGGTGCTTCAGTTTGTGGCCATTACCTCTAGTTCTGTCAGTGGTCACTACTGAAAAGAGACCAGCACCATCCTCCTCACTGCCTCCCTTGAGGTACTTATAGACACTGATCAGATCCCCTCTCAGCCTTCTCTTCTCCAGGCTGAACAGGCCCAGCTCCCTCAGCCTCTCCTCATAGGGCAGATGTTCCAGGCCCCTGATCATCCTTGTAGCCCTGCACTGGACTCTCTCCAGCAGCTCCACATCCCTCTTGTACTGTGGAGCCCAGAACTGGACACAATACTCCAGATGCGGCCTCACCAGGGCTGAGTAGAGGGGCAGGATCACCTCCCTCGACCTGCTGGAGATCCTCTTCTTAATGCCCCCCAGGATCCCGTTGGTCTTCTTGGCCACGAGGGCACACTGCTGCCTCCTGGTCAACATCATCCACCATGACACCCGGGTCTTTCTCCGCAGAGCTGCTGTCCAGAAGGTCAGTCCCCAGCCTGTTCCCATTCCTCTGGATGGCAGCGCAGCCCTCTGGGGTATCAGCTACTCCTCCCAGTTTCGTGTCATCAGCAAACTTGCTGAGGGAGCACTCTGTGCCTTCATCCAAGTCATTGATGAATAAATTGAACAGGACTGGACCAAGGACTGACCCCTGGGGGACCCCGCTAGCTACAGGCCTCCAACTAGACTCTGCACCGCTGATCACCACTCTCTGGGCCCTGCCATCCAGCCAGTTCCTAATCCACCTCACTGTCCACTCATTTATCCCACACTTCTGGAGCTTGCCCAGGAGATGCTTGCCCAGGAGCTTGCAATGCTGGTATATGTCTCTGTAGCACGATGAACCTCATGATTTTATGTGCATTTGTTTTACTGTCTTCCCTATTTGTTTCTGCTTAAAATAATAATAATAATAATTAGATTAGAAACTCTTATTCTGATCTGTAAAACAAACACCAAACCAATTTCGATTGTTTGAGCTGCTCTTAAGTTGTTTCCTCACCACTTATTCTGGATTTGCCTAAATATGTCTACACTATTGCTCTCAATCTGCGTATGCTCAAGCATATATCTGAATCTCCTTGAAGGACTTGGTCCGAACTATCCTTCCTTAAAGGAATTTGCATTTTATGAACTTTATAGGCAGAAACTGTGTAATGCTTTTTTTCTCTCAGTTTTTACTCTGCACATGAGCCCTCCATGTAGGCCTTTTCTCCTCTGAAACAGTCATACATTGCCCTGCTAGAATACAAAATCCTCCAGCTAGTGTAATACCAAGATTCTTTAATCAGAGCCAACAAGTCCAAACTGCAAAAAATAAATTCACTGATATGTCAAATTACTTGTGCAGCATCTATTGCTGAACATTTTTGCAGAATCTCAGTCTTTCTATGGACCCGTCAGATAAGTTTTTGTCCCTCTGAATCATAAACAAAAGTCACTTGATTAAGTTTATTTGGGTTCACATGCATATGCAAGGTGGATTCATTTATCATAGTTGGCACTTTGTAGGTTTTTGACAGTGCAGCTGTTATAGTTTTAGAGCATTTGAGCTATGTGGGCATGATATGAAATATTAATAATATCAGTGCAGTTCTATTTATTCATGGCTCTTAAATTCTATTGTAGAATCTGGGGAAACTGTCAAAATGAGTATATTTTCTCATTTAAAGAAAAAAATAATACTAAAGTTAGCTTCAGAGTAGCTATCTTCTCTTCTATGGTGTCACAGGGCTCGCTGGTTTGGAAGTCCACCCTCCCTCAAGTGAGGGAGTTGGCATGTTTAGAAACCCTTTTTTGCAACTGCTGATAAAATGGCTTTTTTGGGAGAAGAGCTAGCCATACAAGGCATTTTTTTTCCAGTCTATCCCAAATGAATTTTTTCTTCCTTATAACACACTTCTAGAAGCTCACAAGGACCAAGGGTGCAGGACCAATGTCCCAAAAGTAACGTCCTTCCTCCAAGAAGTTTCATTATGATCTCATAGCTGAGAAATAATGCAATGAATCCTGTTGATTTTATTTTTGGTCTTTATATTTACAAGAAGAATATATCAAACTGTTCTTCAATTCTTTATCAATAAAATTCACGTACCGCTTTTTGTTTTTCAGGGCTTAGTTATTGAACGGCTTGGACGTAGACCTCTACTCATCGGAGGCTTTGGGTTGATGGTTGTCTTCTTTGCAGTACTGACGACATCTCTGACTTTGCAGGTAACAGTTTAGTACATGACTGATTTGCAAGTCTCCTAGTAATTGTTAATGCCTAGAAGACAGTTGACACGTTTTGGGATAACTAAGGGAACACCCAGACTATGGGGGAAAATAAAATAGAAAGTGCGGATTGTTATTTAAACTGAAATATTATTACCTGCATTGGCAAATATAATGTAAAGTGTAACACAAGATGCTATTTTGTGTTATATGTGGTTATATGCATCTTAACAGACTTGGAAACCTAGTCAAATACTCATAAAAGTGGTATTCATGCTTTCCTGATAAAAATAAAAAGAAATGATGGGAAAGGAACTTTTTTTTCCTTAATCTATACTTATTGAATATTTACATACACAGTTAAGAAACAGTATCCTACAAATTCAATAGAAATTGTTTGCAGTGTTTGAAGTAAAGTTCTCATCGTTCAAAGAAAATCTGCTGTGAAGTGGATGAATACTTTGCCTCATGAGGGAAACAGGTGGTTCCATTTGCAATTCCTTTAGAGAACTTTAAAACTCTTTGCAATTTGTTCTCCTTTTCCTTATTCCCATTATTTGCACATATGGTTGTTCTTTTCTGCAAAAGTAGTTAATGGCTGTAAAATACTGAATGGTGGCTTCTGTATATCATGCTAATGTTTGGATACATTTGTCGTACTGAAACAAATGTTTGGTCTTCAGCCTGTCCTTTAGCTGGTTACCTCTGAAGCCCTAAAGGGCTGTTTTTTAAATATAGCAGAAATAAGAGGAAGATGGAGGCATAAAATTGGCACAATGGGAATAAAAAGTCTTTACAGATTGGATTGAACTTTAGCACACAATGTCAGAAGCTTTTAGTGTTGTGCCTTTTGTGGTACAGGAAGTTGTCAGGTGTTTCATTATATGAATTATGCAGAGGGTTGCATCTTACTACAAGTGTTACGTATGACCCATCTAACGAGCATCTTTTTTCTATCCAGAATAAGGTGCACTGGCTCCCTTACCTCAGCATAGCTTGCATTCTTGCAATTATTGCATCATTCTGCATTGGACCAGGTATGTCTATGTTTTTTTCATGTTTCTCTGTACATCAAAGCATGTAATTTTGCACTGGCAATATGTTAACAACTTGCAAGAGGGAATGTTATTTTACACACGACCCAAGACCATGTGGGCTTTAAGACCACAAAGGCTTATCCACAAAGTAACCTTCTCTTTAAAACCTTCATGAACGCACTTTGCCACTTAGCTGTCAGGAATTTATTGGTGTTATTGGTGTGTAAAGCCAGACCTTTGTTAGAGGCATGCAATGAAAGGACAAGAGTGTCAGTCACAAGTTTCCGCAAGAGCCATTCTGAGTGGATAGAAAAGAAAAAAAAAAAAATCACATTGCATATGGTTAAGCACTGTAAGATGTTGCTCTGAGAGGTTATGAAACCTCCATCCTAGGAGGTATTCAAAACCTAGTGGTCCATGAGCAGCCTCATTAAACTTCAAAGTTGGCCCCACTTTGAGCAGGGATTAGATCAGCTGAACTCCAGAGGTCCATTCCTGCCCATATTATCCTATGATTCTGATTTGGAATTATGTCTTTGGATAATACCTATTAATAAATACTGCATAATATGTATAAAGGTTACCTGAATATAGCATTACCCTAAACAATATTGGCTTTGCATTCAGATACTTCTGAGATCAGGTTCAGAACATGCAGTTATCAAGTGATGAAATGTTAACAGAAATTATTTGCAGTTGGGTAAAAAGGGAAATTTAAGCTGAATTCAATTAATTGTATAGAATAAAATGTCCAAACAGTGCCTAAATATTCAAAGATTCCCTTACAAGCCTAAAAGAGGCAGCAAAATCAGCATTTTATAGCAGATTTTTCACGTGTTCTACAGTAAACCCGAAAACTAGACTTATGTTTCCCTGAGTTCTCAGATTTATCACATGCCATTTGTTGTCTCTTTCCTTTATAATGAGTTTGACACTGATCATTAATCATCTCTTTATACAACTTCACCACTGAAGGGATCTAATTAATTGATTGTGGTTTATTAATAGAAATAAAGAGTTGCTGGTATTTTGTGCAAGTCTAAACATAGCTGTAATGCTGTGAATCGTCTTTTGATGACTACAAATTATGCTGCTTTAGAGAGACCTGGAAAAGACCAAAATATTAGCATTTCTCCTTGCTCCTGGGAAAACAAGCTGTTATCCCTATTCCTTTGCATGTGTGTGCTAACTGACTGGAATATGAAAGGAATCAGACAGACTTGACTAGAGACATGCAACCTCCACATTCTTGATTATTAATGCACTTAATTTTGGACCATATATGGCTTATGAAAACTGTTCTTTTTCCTTACCCCCTTCTCTTTGTAAAGACAAATTTTGTTGAGTTTTCTGCATTGGCAATATGTGTCATTTAGACTGGGAGTTTTTTTTAGAAGGATGCATTCAGAAAGCACAAGCAGTTCTATTCCTCTTGCAAGCTCTGCTTTCAATGTTATAAGTAGTCTAAACAATGTAAGCAAGCACAGGAACTTTCAGCACCTACCTGTTTCTTTCACAAAGCTCTGTTGAAATAAATTTGTACCATACTTTGTTCCATGTTTCCAATATGTTCCACAATTTTTACATCCTGGAGCTTGATATTTCCTACAATACATCACCAGCATTTAAAAATAAGTGCTCTGTATTTTCCCTCTGTCTCACTATTCCTCCAAATGGATTCTGATTTTCTTTGCTTAGCTTTATTCCATTTACTGACACAGTTCAGGATTTCTATTGTATTTTGCTCTTGTTTTGAAACAGTGTGTCCACACGTATATGCAAGATTGGAACAGCTGTTTCTCAATTTTACTTAATTGTTTTCTACAAAAAACTTAAGATTATATCATCTTGTGTGTTTTTTCACTGTGGCCGTTACTTTTAAAGACAAACATTAAATTGTATTAGGTACCTAGCTGAATTCTCGACCTTCCCAATGTATGTTCAGATGTTCTCAGTACACGATGATAGTAAAAATAGCTCAGAAGCACTCAATGCTGATTTCTTTTTTTGTGAAAACTTGGCAATTGATACTGCCTATGGTTGTGAAGAAGTTGCAAATAATCATATTCTGGTTCTACAGTAACTCAACAGCAGTATTTCAGCTGGTTTTAATGGAAATCCTGAAACTTCTCTGAGTCTGAAACTTTTCAGGCTGAAAGTCTGAGACAACTGGGCTCTTATTGGTGTTGCATGGTGAGAATTTGAGGGACAACAGGCTCAAACAAGGGAGCTTCAGAGTGACTATATGGATATATAGACAGTCAAGCAGGCTGCCAAACAGACCTGTGTGATCTCCAACCATGGAGTTTTTCAAAACTCAACTGAATCAAACACTGAGCAGCTTGGCCTTACCTCACCCTTGACCCTGCTTTGTGTATAAGCTAGGCGAGAGACCTCCAGATGGTTCTGCATCTGTGACATCCTTGGGGCAAGATATGTGCATGACCAGTACCTGTCATCTGAATAACCACATCCTTCGTTTTGCTTGGTACGATGCCCTTTGGTCTTAAATTGAAAGAATTGATCCTCCCTTCTCAAGTTCCTCGTCATTGTGTAGACTTTCACTGTATCATGACCAGATTTTACCAGAATGAATGGCTGTGTCTTATGTTTTTGGTTTGTTTGTTTTTTTTCAGACTTATTTTGTTATTACAAAACAAAATCTTACAGCAGGAAAATTTCACACTAAAAAGATATAGGATTCTCTTGTAGCAAACACTCTGGTACTCTACTCTGACAAGACTGAAGCTTTGAGATAACTTTCCAACTGTTTTGGTCAGGAAATGCTTTTTTTTCCCCAGTCAAAATAACCAATGTTTGTTATCAGCAAGGTGCAACCTTTTTTTAGCATTTTGTAGAAGCCTGTGGGTCACTTGTTTATATTGGTTAAAAGGGTAATATTGTCATGGTATTACCAGAGCTTAGAATCTCATCAGGTTCCTCTTGTAGTTGTTTGGAGCTTTTGAGCATCCTTTCAGAGTAAATCCCACATGGTTTGTAATGATTCGGCAAATACAGATCTTCATCTAGAATTAATTCAGTTTACGTTAATTCAATTATTGGTATAAGAGAATTATACCATCTGAAAAGAGAAAATAATGTGGAGAAGTTGTCTCATACTGCTATAAAATATAAATAATAGATTAATAAATTTGCCTTTAAATGCATTTTTTTTCTATTAAAGATACTGTAGAAATATGTCAGATAACTTCAATATTGTGCTGTCTACCACTTTGAGAATAGCATATGGGTTAGCTCCATCTGTTCCTGACATTTAGGATCAGATGTTAATATATACCAAGGTTTTTTAATTTGTTTCATTTTTCTGAACTAAGATTATCAGCTTGGAGAAGTTTTTCCAGTCATATTGCTAAGCATTGAAACGACAATTTTAGTGGCAGCCCAGGCATGTATATGATCTGTTATTTCCTCATGAGTATCAAAAGACATGCAGCAGAAAGCTTTCCTGTATTTACTAAAAGTTAAAGTGACCCTCATCTTCAAAATAGTCATATACATGGGCTCAGCAGCAATCTATGACCTGAATAAGAAAAATATCCTTCAAAAATAACTTATCGCTCTGTCAGATGAGGAACCTGTGCTGTTCCAGATATTTGTTTCATTGTGCTTGTTTGGTTGGCTTTACACAAATAAAGGAATTTGGTTGCAGAGAAGCTTACTGCTTTCCAATATTATTTTTGATTATGGAAATGATTTAGCAAGTAATTTTTGCCTAAAGGCAAAAGCAGAAGCTTCAGGTGAATGTTTTTCTTGACCATACCTTGGACCTGAAATATATGACACTTTCAAAAGAAAAAGAATGTTAGCTAATAAAAGAGTAAGCAGAGAGGACTGATGGTCCTGGTTCATAAAGAAACAACAAGTGAAAAAAAAATCAATACAGGAAACAAATCAAAGAAAAAGCTAGGAAAAATATTTTTAATATCTCTGCAAAGCATGCATACTGTTCGGGTTCTGTGCCATGGGCAAATGTATTATTTGGAATGCCTTTCCTGAGTAAATAAGGTGCGACTCCTTGAAAATTTAGTGCTAGACCAACTTAGGTACATGAGAACTCTTCCCTGGTACAGCTGTATATGGATGCAATAGAAATGCAGTAGTGCTGTATTCAGCACGTGTTCAATTGGCATCCCGAAGTAAATAACAGAAAACTCTGAGGAAACCACTGCTGTAGGATGAGGTGCATCAAAGAAATTTTGGTATTTAAAGTTTAAATCAGGCTGTGCTCTTATCTTGGATGCCAATGTACAGTAGTATTGACAGCAGAGCAGCTGGGAGAAAAGGGTCACTCTTGAAGTCATGAGGTTTGCTCAATCTGAAATGCCGCTGGGGCAGGAAAAAAAAAATAAATAATATCCATCTTTTCCTGGAGCTGAAACACAAACCGGGGTGTGATAGGGCCCATGTAGATGCACCCGTGTCAGTGCTGGGGTTTGAAACGGGCACTTAGAAGCTCCGTCGGAGCAGTTTTATGCCTTCCCTTGGAGTGGGGTGTCAGTGTTTGTCACCGTCCTGACCCCGTCGCATGGGCATTCCCCACTTTGCTTGGAGAAGGTGCTTGCAAGAGTCTTGCAACGGGTGAGAATACGAGACCTAGTCCTTTTAACCAAAAAGTATGAAATTTATTAAGCAAGCAAACAAACCCATGCTGTTGTGTATTTAATTAGAGCCACACATTTGAAAGCTTACATCAGTTTTCTAGTGGTGCCTTTTATCCCGCAAGCTAGAGGGCTTTTAAATCTCTCCTGCAGGTCAGCAGCCTTTCACAATGTTAAATAGCTCCTGCATCAGAGGAGAAGGGTATCTGTGCAGAAGTAACCTTTAGTTTTCCTTGCTATTAAAAATCAGAAAAGTTAGGTTGGTTAACAGTTGCTAGGCTTTTGTAGACAGACCAATATATTAAAAACATGCTGCCCTAAAAGCAGTTAAGGATAAAATATTCCAAGCATGTGAGTTATAATTCAGATCTGGGAGGGTTC